CGGCGGCGCCGGAGACGAGGTGCGGAGCGCGGCCAGGACCCGTGCCCGCGGCCGGGAGCGGCGGAGGGCGCGCAGCCCGGGAGAAGGGAGCCTCCGGCGGCGGCTTTCTAGCGTCCACAGTTGCTGCCTCCTCCGGGTGAGGACCGCCTCCTGGCCCCTAGTCTGTCGAGGAAAATGAAGTTGAGCCGCCAGTTCACGGTGTTCGGCAGTGCGATCTTCTGCGTGGTGATTTTCTCGCTCTACCTGATGCTGGACCGAGGTCACTTAGACCACCCCCAGAGCCCGCGCCGCGAGGGCTCCTTCCCTCAGGTAAGCGCCCGGGAGCCGGGGCGCGGGGCTCCGAGAGGCCGGGCGCGGGGCCCTCTAGTTACCCGCCGTGGCTCCGCGCCGGGCAGGCAGATGCCGAGCCCGGGGCGGGTCCGAGCTTTCTTCAGCCGGGGCTCCGGAGCGCTGGGGGGACGGCGGTGACAGCCACCCGGGAGCCACCTCTCCCGGGCGCGCCGAGTTAGCAAAGTGCCGGGCGGCATGCGGCGGCAGAGTCGCGCTCGGGGAAGTGGCCAGGTTCCCGCCCGCACTCCCGGGCCTGTTGGGGCGGCCTCGGGCACCTGCCGGAAGGGAGCGGGCGCGGCGTGGGGCGCCCCTGGCCAGTCGGGTGCCGGCGCATCGCTGTGGGTGGGTCTCGGCTCGCACGGGGTTAAGCAGCCGGCGCCAGCCCTGACCCCTGCGCGCACAGAGTCGCGGAAATGGATCCAGCCGACCCCACCGGGTCCCCCCCTCCTGTCCCCCCCCCACTGTCTCTGAGGCCAGAAAAGTTTATTTCGTGTGGCAGCCCCTGTTGATGTGGATCTGTAGGCTGACTTCAGTGTCGTCATTCCCCAGCAATCACATCTGGTTTGTTTGTGGCAGACGTGGGGAGCCGCGTAGGGAAGCGTGTGTTATACTCCGGCCGGAAGCTGTGGGGCGCTCCGTCCTGCGCCCGGTGGTTCAATTGGCAAATGCGTTGAGAAAACGACCCATCCCAAGTCTTATATTTAAAGTTCCTAAAAATAAGCAAAACGGACACAATCTGTTCAGTTTGAAAGGCTACCACGCGGCGTGTGCGAGTTCAGTTTCAAGCTGCTTGCCAATGACCTGTCCATTTCGGAAATTTTAGTAACGCTGAGAATCATGTAAGTGTGCCCTGTAACGAATGCCCCTGCAGAACCCAAAGCCCGACAAGCCAATCTAGCAGCTACTGCTTGGTTAGGGGTAGAGAAGCCTAGACCGTGAACAAGTTGATGTTTTAATTGTTTTTGTGTGTGACAGTTTAAATGACCAGAGTGCCCGTGACTTTTCGTCTGATAGGCTAGAGCAAATGACTTGTATTTAATTGAAATTAAAGTGCAAACTTTACTTGGATTGTTATGATTTTGTGACAATTTAAATGACCAAAGAGTATCCTTGCCATTTCTTCTGGTATTCCAGGGAATGACGTGAATTTAACTGAAATGAAAGCACAAGCATTTGAATTATTATGAAAGTGAAAAAAGACCCTTTTATGAAGATTATTAAAAATCTTGCTGCAGACATATGTATCAAATTTTTAAAAGCTTCTACTTCCCCTGGGTGGTGTGATAGAGAAATTATGAAACAAGCATTACAGGCATCTTTAAATTTTGAGCTTAGAGCTTGTCCAGTGCTTGTTGATGAGGTGGAAGAAAACAGTTGGAAAAAAGGTAAACTTTCTGAAGCCAGAGTAAAAGGCGTTCTAAGCTTAGTTATGTTGTATAATTTGAGTGTTAAAATTCGGTGATTTATTTTTTTCCCCTCCAGTAACCCCATTTTCAGAATTTCCTCCTATTATATGAAAAAAAATCACTAAAGCTGACACATTTTACTTTAAGTGTTATCTTAAATAATGTCCTTTGACTTTGGTTTGATGATCACTTGAAAATGATTTATGCAAACATCTGGGCCGGGTTTTTTGGGCAACCTTGACATTTTACTTGGCGTTTAAAGAAGTGACTCATTCAGTTACTGGGAAGTCTTAGGCAAAGTTAATCCCAATATTTTAATATCCATCCCAAGTCCTCAGTGAGGGGCTAAAGTTCTGCTTTTAAATGTAAAGCATTTAATGGAAGGTGACAGTGGCTTGTGGAGAAGGTTCTGTGTGTTTGTAGTGTTCTGTGTGCACGAGGAGACAGTTTGGAAGGTGGAGTGTTTTTTACTTAAGGTTTCCTTTTTCGGATTTTCTGTACCGGATTTTCATTGTAGGAAGGTTTTTTTTTTAGTGCCTGGAGGGCCACTGAAACTCCCAAGTGCACAGACATTATAAGCCCGCTGTAAGTGTAACTCGTGTGTGGCATTAGCCTCGGCGTCTTACGTGATAAACCTGATTCCCACAACCGCAGTCCAGTAGATGAGGAAACTGAGCACAGAGAGAATAACGTGTCCAAGGTCATGTAGCTAAATGCTGAGATTTGAACAGGCAGCCTTTGGAGTCTAGGCACCAGCCACTGTGCTATCTTGTCTCTGTGGAAACTGATGACTACTATTTAGGCTGCCAACTGCTTGTGGAAGGACCTGATGTAGATTATAGAGCATTGTGCTCTTTGGTACCTTAGCTTATGACTTTTTTTTAAAGGAACTTTTATTCTGAAGCCATAATGTCCTTTTTCTGAAACATTTAATGTTTGAGATTTATACCGTCCCAGAATGTTTTAGCTCTTTTCAGAGCTAAACGTTATGATGAAAACCATTATGCAGAACAATATCCAGTGTTGAATTGATCCTTTTATTTTTCTCACTACTTCTAACTCCATGTCAACTTTAATTAGACGACAACACCAAACAGCATAAGGAGCATAGCAAACATATATTTCTTTGGCAAGTTTGGATACTGAATTCTTGAGTTTTGATAGAACAGAGCTAGTTGGTCACTATGTGTTATTTTTGGCATCTAGTAGAATGATTTATCTAGAAAAGTTTTGAGTTTTTCTAAATTGTTCATTTTAGTTTGTTTCAGTTGATATGGAATATCACTGAGATATCAGGTCCATATAAACAAGATATTTTAAAAAACTGTCCTAGATTGAGAGCTATCTATTTATCTAGTTTTCTGGACCTTTGCTCTTTTCTCTCTGTCCACAACTCTGTTTCTACCACTTGGCCAGACTCTGGGGCAGGAGTTGACCTGTTCAGGGTGTTCCAGTTTCTCCTACCCTGAAGCAGTTGCCTCCCTCTCAGATGGTCTTTGAAGAGTTTTCTTTCTTTGCCTCTGGGAGGAATTCCTTTGAGGGCAGCAGGCAACAGGTGACCTAGTCTGTTTTAGCTTGTGTGCATATTTCAGTGTTAATGGATCTCAGCCAAAACAAACAAAAAATAATAATAATAATAATTCTACTCCGAATGAGACGTTGTTCAAGGCCTAATGTCCTGAAAATGCTTTATGATAACTTGTAAGAATTTGAGCAGATAGAAAGGAGAAACATTGTTCAGGTCTGCCTGAAATTACAAGCACATTTCACAAGTTGCTTACTATCTATGATGTGTATTACAGGGTATCTCATTAATGTCTCATGTTTGCATCTGGAGAATTAAATTAATAAGTCAGGTTTTGTGTAATAAATGATAAATCTTTAAATAACTAGTATAGCTTCTGACCATAGAGATTAATACAGAAGTTGAGGCTGAGGGAAAATGTGAAAGTGAAGTTCAGACTTTATTTTTGTGCCTAGATAGCACTTATCAAGTGAGAAAGTGAGAATGTCTTTAAATTATTATTTGACTGAGAGTCATTGGAAGGTAGGGACTTTTATGCCTTTTGTTTTTTAATTTTTATTTGAAACTGTGATACACATAAACAAATGCGCTTAAATGCTTTGCCTTGTTAGTACTTTTTGAGAACCCAGCATAGTAAATGTTAATAAAAGGTCAATAAACTAGGACCTCGATCCTCCAATTTTTTTCTTGCTTTCATAAATCTTAAGAATGACAAGCCAAGCCGGGCTTGGTGGCTCAGCCTGTAATCCCGCGCTTTGGGAGGCTGAGGTGAGTGGATTGCCTGAGCCCGTGGGTTCGAGACCCGCCTGGGCAACTTGGCGAGACCTCATTTCTACAATAAATCAAAAATCATCTGGGCGTGGTAGCTCATGCCTGTAGTTCCAGCTACTTGGAAGGCTGAGGCGGGAGGATCGTCGGAGCCCAGTGGCCACTGCACTCCAGTCTGGGTGACAGAGTGAGACTCCAACTCAAAAAAAAGAAAGAATGCACTCTGCTTATAAACAATGATACTTATTGTTAGGGTTTGCTCAGGCTTGTATAAGGTAGTTTGTATTATTTCTTCAGACATAATGTTTAAGATCTGTGTTTTTTGGGAAGTGATGGAACATTGATAGTGGTGGTAACCAACATTTGGGAGTACAAGAATGTTAGATCCTTTTAAGGCAGGTCTCCTCCACCCCTTCCTGAGTCTAGCAGTCCCGAGGGACTCTTTTGTGAGCAACTTGTTTCACTATGGCCCAAGCTTATTTCCTATAAACCACAGGTGCCAGATACTCATGACTGCATGTGGTCTGAAGGTTTTGCTTTATAATTGAGTTGTGTGTTGTTCCCAGATGAACACTGTTTTCTTGGTCCTAAACAAATATTTTTGTCAGGGAGATGTCGCAGTCTTATTTATTGGAGGGGGATTTTCTCTGTTTCACCTTAATTTGCATTATGGACTATCTGGGCTGTAGGCAAAATGTTGACTAAAATGACTACTTTTATTTGTTGTTTTTGAGTCAGCTGTTGCTTTTTGTGATAGCTGTGAAAACCGACCTTGTTTTTTTTTTTTTTTTAAAAGACTGAAGGGTTGAGATTTAACTAGAAGTGGTTCATAGCTGTCACTGACCACCAGCTTTTTTCTTAATTTATTGCATTCAGGGGTCTTAGTTTTCCCTTTTTGTCCCCCAACTTCCATAGAGTAATCTTTAAGAAACTGGGAGAATGTTCCACAGCTCTGATGATTTATGGCTGCTGGATTATAAAGGTCTTACTACATTTTCAGTCCCTTCTGTCTTGGGGGTCAGGTTCCCAGTAGTGGCTTTTTATAAACTTTATGGAGAATTAAGGAGAGGAGGAACTCGAATTTTGCTTCTTTTCATAGTTTTATTAGTAGGTTGATCAGGAGAGGAAGTAGAACATTTTAGCTAAAATGGGTTTCTGTTTCAGTTATCAAGTAAGCTGCTATTTTTAAGGTTGAAACCATGTTTAAGTTCAAACAAGTTTGAGGATTAATTGTGCTGAAATGGAGTGCGCACACCTAGTGCTTTAGTAAGTATTGCTAA